AGTACATTACGCAAACAGTATTACGTTATAACGCTTAGAAAATAAACAAAGAAGTTTATTTGGTGAATCAAAATCTGAACAAATCTCTATCATTAACTGTCAATTATTTTATTTTTCTAAAATACTCTATGGTAATAGTTACACGAAGATCACCGGCGAGGCAGCTACTCCGCGTCGCGTTCCAGTGGATTCTCCTTAAAGTTGCCGAGCCACCATTGCTCCTGCTTCTTCGGGCACGCGTAGTTCGTCATGGCGTGAGGACCCACCTGAGCGCGGCACATTGGGCAGTGGTACTGGAACAGAAGCCACTCGAAGATGCATTCGCGGTGGAACGAGTGCTTACACGGAAGGGTTACCAGACCCTGTGGACCCTCCGCGTGTGCGTGATCCTCAACGTCTTCTAGACAGATCATGCACTGCGGGTTCTCCACCGTAACGGCAGCACCCTTCTCCTCCGCGTCCAGCTCCATCTGAGCCAGGTTTGACGTTGTGGCAGACTTCTTCATCGAGCTTGTCTTCTTCATGCCCAGGCTGGCATGCTCCAGCGACGACAGGCCCGTGTGGCTAGCAGACTTCTTCATGCCACCTTGGTGGTTGTCCACGTACACCTGCAGCAGCGAACGCTTGTCCGCGTCATCCTTGATGCCCAGGAACTCGAACAGGGCCGGCGGTAGATGCTGCCGCGCGTGGAAGCACTTCATCGTGCTCCCCGGAAGCAGCACCGATCGCAGCAAATGGATCAGCACGTTCTTGAACTTTGTCTTGCGATCCTCCACCATGAACGACCACGTCGACATGATGCCCGCCTTCTTCGGGAAGCATGCCTCGATGAGATCGCGTAGGGACTGGCACGAGCCCTGACACTTCTCGTCGTGGCACGTCCACACCTCCTCCACTTGGTTGCGGAACGCCAGGAACTCCGAGTATCGGTACGACGCGTGCCATCTGTTCTGTGTCGACACGCTCGACGTCGTGATGTTATACACAGCATAGCCTTCCTCCTTCTTGATCGCGCTCACATCCAGGTGCAGCGGCAACTCACTGCCTGCACACTGGCGGAGCTCCTTCATCGTGTACATCTTCGAGTTCGGTCGCTTCGGGGCTCGCGGTGCCGGCTTCTCGTGCGGCTGCGGAACGAAATACCCATTCATGACTGTTGGTTGCTTGGTTGATGGTAAACTGGTTTCGACCTTGATCTGACCAGTTGATGGTAAATTGCGGAATGACATTGGCTCTCGGCCGCGAACACAGCGATGTAAAGTTTGAAACTTTTGAAAGCGGGACACTCCTCGCCCTGTCCACACACGCAAGATTCGTCGCCGAGCAAGCAAGTGTCGCTTGGCCAGTCGACCCCGAAACATGAGACAGGAACGGATCGTCATGATCTGCACACCAAGCACCAAAGCAGTGACGCGCCGCCTGCCTTGCATCCGCCAATCAATGCGAAGAGAGGTAAATGCTGCGAATAGCGATTGGATCCTCGTGGCGCGTCACGGTAGATTCGCCAACAGCGATATACGTCCTGCGATTTCGGCGATCGCAAATGGTTGCTCTGCTTGGGATGCGCGATCAAGTCGCTTGGCGCGGCACAGCCAAGTGCCACCACGTCGACGGCCATCCTTCGTGTAGATCAGGGTAGGCGTCGAAGTGCTTTTTTTTAGAGTCTTCGCGAGCGGCTACCAAAGAATTGTAGCTTAATCAATGAATGGGCGACGGCTTTGGTTTCCGACGGGTGAGATCTGTTTAACTCTTCCGAACCACCAGACGCCGGTATGGTCGTGTTGGATGGCGTGCATGCATGCACGCACGCAAAAGTCAGTTTTTCGCCCGTGATCAGGAATCTCAGCGCCGGATCGAATACTCCCGACGTGCCAAGTCCATGCACGTCAAGTGACTGGGCAAGAATGCGCCGAGCGAGTCGAACCCAACTCCGCGTGCGCAAGATAACGAACGCTCTGATCTCGAGCGGACGTGGCGACGTGCGAGTGATTCTCCTCTTCGGCAGACTTTCGTGGAATGCTGGGCCACGCCAGCGTGGCGCGGTCATGAGGGTACATGTCGAGCAGCCTGCCGTCACAAGTCTGAATCCCGTCGTATTCAGCTGTGAGAGAAAATGTGCAGACACAGTGGATATATGACGCGAGGAGTTCGGCAGCGCCGAGGTTGTGAAATATGGTTGCTTTCTCCAGACCGGTGATTGCTATCTGGATTTGGTTGTCAAACACAGGAATCCGCGAGTGTTACGGCCTTAATTTAACATTTCGAAAACTGACATGCGAATCGCTTTGGGAGGAGATGGACTGTTAATCAAAACTGAAGTTGGCTTGACTATGAGAGATCCTTAAGATACTTTTACGTCACCCGAAACAAACCATCCAGCTAAAAAGACGTTTGGGCTCCAAGTTGGCAAAATGCATTTTTTGCCAGTGCATTGGAGTCGAAGAAGCGTCCAGCGATGAATTGTCCACGTTTCCTCACAGGTACGCTGAAGCAGTTGAGCTCACGTTCTGCACTCTCGAAAAGGTATTTCTTG